CTAAAATCTGGACCAATTTCTGATTTTGTTTCTGATTCATCTGTTCCAAATAGATTAATTGCAGAAAATTTCAGAGACTTTGACAAAGTCCCCAAGTCAAATTTTTACCACAAGTTTAAATTGGAAAACATTTGGGAAGAAGATTATCGTTTATAATTAGTTCATATAATTTATACACGCTTCATACACATTTAATATATCATTCACTGTCTACAAACTACTCCAATTAAACAAACACAATACAATTTCAATACAAAATTAATACAAAAACATATATTCTAATTTCAATAGAAACTAGAATATTCTTTTTTTTAAAAAAGGACTTTCATAAACAATTGATACACGTTTCGTATACTTTTCATAAACTAATAATACAAACTTCAGACTTCAAATACGCTATATCTAACATAACTGTTTCATTCAAAAAAAATATACAAATTGTATTTCAGATAATACAATTATAAAAAAAAATCAAACACTGTTCTACATGTAAAAAATATTAAATTAATTAAAACCAACAATTCATAATTAAAAGAAACAAATCATCATTAAAAATCAATCTGATAAATTTCACTTTTCACCATATTTAATTAATATTGACATAATGTTCTCCATCAGATCAAATTAAATTGTTTCAAATGCCAAAATTTACCAGGTTACTAAAAAAATGAACTGAAATATACAAATATGAAAATAATCATGAAATTTTGGAGAAAAATGACTTCTACGTTGATGCAAATCTGAAATAATTGTAAAAATTTGGAAAAAAGATGAATTGCAACGATGATGCAAATAGGTTTCAAAATGCCAATCTGAAAATAATCTGAAAAATTTGATAAATTTTTTTAAGGAATTAAATCAAAAAAATAATATCATTTAAACTAACTAGAGATATTTAAGATAGTGATGCTAATTGAAAATTTTTGATATCCCTAAAAACGTGTTAATCTAATATTAAATTTTAATTAAAATCCCTTAAAACGTGCTAGTATACAGTTTCAAAATGTGCTAACTACATTTAATATAATTAATAAAGTATTCCATTTTCCATTATTAGTTTGTCCGTGTGTTAATTAGGTATATCAATTATCCATTATTAGTTTATCCCTTTTTTTTTATTAATTGTTAATAACAACTCTTTTTAATAAATTATAATTAACATTATATTTATTAATAAAATGCTATAGATTGAGATATTATATGCTATACACTGAAATTCAAATTCTAATGCTATAACTTGAGAATATTACTATATAAAATGTTATATACCTAATTTACACATAAAAATATAGTATCAGGTGTTGTGATACATACAAATTTTGTTATATAAAAAATAATTGTGTATCATATACATAATGTAGTTTTAAAAAATCTTGTATCTTCTAATAATATAGTGTCAATTATATATTAATTGTAATATACTCTATATTATTAAAATTAATATAAAGTATAAAATATATGATATATAAAATACTTATAATCGTGTATCATATACATAATTTTTGATATTTTGTATCAGATAATATATGATGTATAAAATACTTATAATAAACAAAACGTAACAAGGTACCAACAATAACAAATATCATATTCAAAATAAATAATTTTATTACAAAAAACTGTAAAACTTGAGAAAATATTTCTTGAAAGATAATAAACCCTTCAAAATATTAATTAATGTGTCTTACAAAAAATAAACATAAAAAGTTGTCCATGAATTGGTACATAATCACTAATATATATGATCCAAGTCATGTTATTGTTGTGAAGTGAAATAGCTCTTTAGCTTTAGTGAATCATCGCTAATCGCTAATATATCCCGCCTGGATCTTGTCGAGATCATACTTCCATAATAGTGTTGCATATCTTGTGCGAGGTAGTCAGCTCAGAAACCATTAGATGGATGTTGACTTCATCACTAAAGAATTTAACAAAGGCAACTACAAACATTCAACCATCACTATAAATATCCAGATACATTATAAAAAAAATTAAATTTGTACAAAAAGTTAATTACATGATATAGCAACTACAAAAAAATCTTATTGTTTAGTTGATACGTAATGATAATAATAATAACCAATACTCAATACCACGTGATGATATTTGTTTCTGATACTAAATGAAACATCATATATTCATTATATGTTATTTAGGTATTGTGGTGAAGCTATTTTATAATATGATATACTATTCTGCAATATCTCATCAAAATAATTTCTACTATATAGTTTGATAGATTAGTGACAATATATCGAAAAATAAAAAGAATCAAAATTACGATTTTATATATAATTTGGTAAGACTTAAAGCAAGGTACAATATAATATGATAAATGTATCATTGTTGTCAACATATCTAATTTTAAAAAATAACTCACTAGGGATGAAGTTCTTCAACATTCGCTTTAAAAGATGAAGTTTTTTTCTTCAATTTCGTCTTCTAAAATTATGATTCGCCATTGTTAATGGATTCTACAACCTCTAGGATTAATTTTCAACTCAATCATCATCATCGAAATTGTAAGGAATTGATTAAATCTATTTTCATGAAATTTTTCATCATCAAAATCAAATACACAAGGTACCATACTAAAAGGAAAAAAAAATGAAATCTGAAGAAGTGAAAATAAAAAATTGAAGAAAAAATAGTTCTGTCTCTTTAGGAACTTGAAATTGATGAACTTGAGAGAGAATAGATTTGAAATTGAAAAATTGAGTGATTGATGTAACTGTTGATATATGAGAGTGATTTTAGGCGTAAAAATAGAAAAAAAAATCATTGGATTGATGGGATGTGAATAATTTATCTGAAAATGAGAGAAAAAGAAGAGAAAAGGAATTTTTTAAATATTTTGAAAAGGTAGGGAATTTTAGAAATTATGGAAAGAAAGAAGAGCAAGTTACAAAAATGACTACATTTATATGGTTATTGAAGTTCAATAGCTATAAATATGTTATTTACTAGAAATGACTGCATTTTATCTCCATTTCTAGCTGTATGTTTGTATTAAATTTTATTTTATTTTATTGTTATTATTATTATTTATACAATGCACTAAATAAGGTATGATATGTTACCATAACTTTCAAGTACCAACCATTTATTATGTTCCTAAATAACCAAAATTTTCATTATTAAATTACCAACTAATAATTACATATTGTATGCAAATATGTTTGATTCATATAATACAAAAGGTTGTATTTATATTCCTAAATACAATATATTCACTAAATACTAATCATAATGGTATTCATAAATTTTTGAATATAAAAGTTTATTCATGTCTTTTCTCGTTGTATTTTTGCATTTGCTTTTTATTTTTTATTAGTTATAACTAATACAGTTGTAACTACAATAACTAAATAAGGAAACTATATCACTTGTACAAGTAGCATATGAATACTTTAAATTCAAATTGGTGTTTCTATTTATAAAACTTAAATTATTAATATATCAAGGATACAAGTATTTATATAAATTTAATGTATTAATACATCAAACAAGGTAAAGTAGTACAATTTTAGCATATGAATACAACAATTTGAAAAATAGATACACTATTCTTAACCAAAAAAATGAATATACCAATATACTATAATATGAATACAATGTTGTTAAATAAGAAAATGGAAAAACAATAGAATGTGTATGTATCAAAGTGTGTTAGTATTCGACTATATAAAAATTTAAAAAAACATACAAAACGTCGATCTATTTTTTGTGAAGTTTTCTATAATACTTGAGGCTTGACGTTAACTTAGGTATTTATTTATAAAAATATAGTATTGATGTATCCAACTATACTTGTATTGCCTAATCAAATTGGATAAATTACTTATGTATACAAATATATTTGTATTCACAAATCACCATTTTATTAGTATTACAATACAATTATCTATGTATATAAGTATCATTAAATATAAACATTTGACATTTGATTGAACCACAAATATAAGTATAATGAATTGAACCACAAAAATCACTTCTACAATCATACAAAAGGATCTTGAATTGGAAGGAATGGGGGGGGGGGGAAGTACAAAAAAAATCTGTAATATAAGGATAATGATGATAGAGAAGGCATGAATACATAATTAATTATGAGTTTAATAATAATTTTTCTATTTATTATTTATTTATATTCAACATAAAAAAAATTGATTATTGTTATACAATTAAATTTGCTATTTATTGTATAGTTATAGTCATATAACATAAAAAAATTAAACTATAGCTATAATATTTAAATATATATTGAAGTTTGTCATATTATATAGTTTTTTTGAGAAATGTTGTGTAGTTAAGTAATTTTTCAAAAAAAATTGAATTGGGTCTTGACCCATTTATTATCTTGGCCCATTAAGACTTGTCATTCGAGCCAAACAGCCCATTTGCTACTTTTAAGCCCAGTCACGTGTTTAGCCCATTTTCTAAATCTCTATTTAGAAGGGAAAATGATTATGGGCACAAAACCTCTATTTAGAAAAGGAAAAATTGTATGAAATAACAAAGGGAAACCTTATCATATAGCCACTTATAAATAGTTTAATTACTCTCCATAACTATAGTTTGATAATTACAATTCACAGCTATATGATATATGGAGGAGAGAGGCAAGCAAGACTGGGAGAGAGAGGAGAGAGGAGAGAGGGAGAGGAGGGGGGGGGGAGTGAGGAAAGGTGAATTGTATATATATATATATATATATTCTTTAATTTATAGTCATCAATTTTTTACTGTAGTTTCATGAAATTTTGTTAACTCTGAAATGTATATAACTTGGTTCCCGATTATATTAATCTAGAATTTGTATATGTTAACCCTATTGTTTGTAAACGATTTTAAAAAAAAATCATAATAAATCATTTTGTTTGTATACTGATAAGTGAAATATACAGAATCTTGAAAAATTCCTAAGTGTATAAATATATAATTTGTATATATACTTATCATGTTTGTATGTGTACTGACTCCCGAATTGACCAAATCCATTTGGGTCAATCTGACTCTGTTTTGAAACACCGAGAGATTTTGGGTTGAGAATGGTGGCAGCATCAACATCTGCAAGTGGTAAAATGTCATCTGAGGTTAAGTTGGTATCCAGATTAAGACCGAGATCGTCCAACGATGGAGGATGTAAATTTGACATCTTACCAGTGAACATTTCAGGCGATGTCACCTGAAAGTTTCACTGGTATTATGGAGAATTCACATCCTCCATCGCCCGGCTACCTCGATCTTGATCTGGACACCGACTTAACCTGAGATGACATCTTCCCACCTGCAGATGCTGCTGCTGAGACCATACTCAACCAAAAATCTCTCTGACTCAAACCCAAATAGATTTAGTCAAATTATATCATGATTTCATCTATATGGGTACTAGACCCGAGGCAGATCATAGCCCTGGAAATCATAGTTCAAGTGGATCCCCTGTTCTGAAGACAGTTGTCCCTGGATCCGATCTCTAGATCCATACTTGCACTGGAGTACGAACAACTTAGTTTGTATTTTTAAATTATTCACAACCTCTACTGAAAATAATTAAACTAGAATTATGGAAAGGCTAGACTTACCTGTCTATCTGGATCCATAACAATCATCACCCGTACATGTATCCATACTTGGACACCCACACCAGAGTTCCTACAAGGATTCGTACACCCAAATCTTAAAATTTAGGTCATTAAGGATCTGATCTCTACATCTGCATCTGTATCAAACACCTGCACTAGAGTCCGAGCAACTTAGCTTGTATCTGTCAACTATTTATAAGTTATAACGTCTATAAAAATAAATCGCTTGATCTATATGGAAAGGCTGGACTTACATGTCATGTTGTATCCATAACAACCACCACCGTTACCTGCATCCGTGCTAGAACACCCTCACTAGACTCCATACTTGGATCTGTACCTCCAAATCTTTAAATTTCGATTATCTTGGATCCGACATCTTGATCTGCCAGCATTGGAGTCCGAACAACTTAGCTTGTACTTGCAATTATTTTACACTTATACAGAAAATGAATTGAGTAGATCTTTAGAAAGGCTAGAATTACTTGTCTTTTTGGATCCATAACAATCACCGCCTTTATCATTTATCGACAGGAAAATATATGAAAGTAACCATATATAGGTAGATCTCTTAGAAATTAATAATTATGAGACTAAACTTTTTTTGTAAGAGAGACTGATGCAATATACATTGAGGGAAAATGTTATCAAATTGTAAACAAGAAGGAATGATAGAATCTTAAACTGAGAGAGTTGGAAAGATAACTCAAGTTTTGAGTGCTCTATTTCATTCTTTTTTCTAAAGAAGCAATGCCTTTTTATCGTGGGTGTAACTCTATATATATAATTAAAAAAATTTCTTGTAAGCGGCCAAGACACGTTATTTTGAACACTTGGCAACTTTTGATTCGCTCTTGTTTTGACTAAGAGTTGCCACATTATTTGAACACATGACATCATTTTATTGGCTTTGAACTTGGCTGAAATGCCACGTCATTGAATACGTGACACAGTTAACGTTTAGGCCGTAAATTGAAATGGATCTTGGGCTTGAAATTTAAAAAAATGAGACTTAGCTTATTTATCTAAGTCCAAATTAATTATCAATCCAAATAAGTTCAAGACTTGATCCAAATCTAGTGTGGATTAAATTAACCCAATTATTTTTGTCAGGAGCGACTTAAGCGTATAAGTGGCCTAAAGCAAAAATTAAATGGGGCCTTAAAATTAAATTGTTGATAACATTTATATAATTGATTTCTTCTAGTTCTCTATGATAATATAACAATTCTTATTTTAAATTATTTTTCATGAGTTATAGTACTCCAAATATGTCAAATTTCTTCTAATAATTCCCTTCATTTTTAATGAAATGTTTACTTTTTCTACAAATGGTATTCAATATTTGTTAAAAAATAATCATTTATAACCAATTATTATTAAAAAATGAGGCCCCTTAAATTTGGAAAGCCTAAGACACATGTCTTTTTTTAACAGCGTAGAACCACCCCTGATTTTTGTTATGTGCTTACAACGTTCTGTTGAGATCTTATCCAAAAAAATATCTCATAAAAATCTAAAAATTTAAGAAATAAATCTTATGTAAAGCGCATCCTGTCTAAAAACATTTCATTAGTAGTAAATGGTAATAAATGTCATCGATTCATTGTTCTATAAAATTATGATATTCACATCAAATGCTTGGATTCAAAATAATTTGAATTACAACAAGCCAAGGAGACCATCAACAAGCCAAGAGAGCTAGTGAACAAGGTAACAGAATTGTATTTTCGCTAGTATGTTTCCAATTATGAGTATCATTTCTTCTTGCAATCATAAGTAATGTGAATTGCAATGACAAGTAGAATATACATCACTTGCATAAGATTAATGATGACTTACGAATTGCAGTACCTGAATTAGTATATATATTCTACATTCCTAACTTCCCCTAATAAACAAGAGGAAGTGATTAATTACAAGACAATAAAACACAAGTCTGATGATTTTAAATTAATTTTCCAAATAATTGCTTACTTCTTGGGAATTTTCCTATTGATGAAGGAATTAATAATTTGAAAATTTAAATTTGTTTGTTCCTAGGGAAGTTTGTTGGTCTTTTAATTACATATTTACTCAACAAGTGAATCATCATGAAACCTTATTTCCTTCAGTACTATTACCAAATCGTAAAGTGGAACCTTCTGGATTCGTAGTGCATTGAGCTGTGTACACGTCTATCAAACTGCACTTGCTTCATCTGTCGATATACTAAGGACAACATGTACTGTCCTTCAAATGTATTAAAACTAAAATTGTTTTAAAACCTTTCAACTCGAGTTTAGCCGAAAGAAATTTGAAAAAAAAAGAAACTGGCTCCAAAACTTGTTCACAAGCAATATTGTTCATTCAATAACAACTTTAAGGATGGTATTGGTCATGGAAAGCAGACACTTGGAGCAGCCCATTCAACTCTAAGTATGAGATTGTGATAAGAATGACCATTGAGCTTGTTTATGGCCCTCTCAGCGTCTTCTCTGTTCACAAAGTTGACAAAACCAAATCCTCTGCTCATTCCTGTATTTTGATCAATCGCAACATACACTCCGTTGACATGACCAAAGGGACAGAACAGCTCCAACAAATCAGCCTCACGAGTGTTCTCAGAAATGTTGGTGATCCTAACAGAGTTTTCGTCATTTCTTCTTCTCATCTCAGTTCCCTCACCACTTCTACTCGTTGAAGCACCACCTGTCATGATCGGAGGAAAGTAAGCACTCTTTTGAGAACCAGCCCCAGCAGCAGGCGCTTCCCTTGACATTGGAGGAGCCACTGCTTGTGGTTTCCTCGGAATGGGCTTGATCACTATATGAGGCACTTGTGATCCTTGTGGCCTCGCCATATAAGGCGGACCATCAAACATCCAAGGAGACCTGATTGTATGATATGGATTCATCCCGTGGGGTGGTGGTATCTGGGAAGTGCTGCCCATCTGTGTCTTTAAAGTCGCATTCTCCAATGTTAAATGTGATATCATACGATTCAACTCTTGGATTGTTGATTGCATTGTCCTCACATTATCCTCTAACTTCTCAACGTAATGTTTTCTCCTATTCCTATATGTCTGAGAATTTACCCTGTCCCTCTCCAGTTTTGATTTCTTCTTTTCATCTTTTTCACTACTAACATTTCTAATATTGCTACCGTCAACCACAAACTCAGATTTTTCGTGTTTGAATGCATTGTTTGAATCATCACTCACCTTTTTTCTCTTCAAGTCCTTTAATCTAATTTGCTGTTCATCTACTACCCCACATTTCACTGAATTATTCACAACATTAGGAGAGGAATTTACCAAATTATTCATGCCACAATTGCCAGAATGTTGATACTCTAATGAAGGGTAGTTCAAATTTATTGAATAACCGTTTCCAGACTCCATGGAAGCCTTGCGATTAGATGACTCTGGCGATTCATTCAGGTATTCAACATCAGGAGGTGGGAAGACATCATCGATGGATAAGTCGATCTCTGTTTCGACATCATCAAGCATGACTTCGTCTTTTTGTGCAGCAGATTCCACGTTGCTGTCATTATTGATTCCATTGTCTGGAGGTGGAACTGGGACACCCGAAGAGTCATTTTCCAATGGTTTATCTGAATTCTCCATCAGTTCAGTAAAACTTTCTTGCAACAAATTGAATCAAGTTGTATATTCAAATGAGATGTTGTTACTCACAGAGAAGAGAGGGTATTGTGTTGGGGTAGGTGGGGTTTAGATCTGTTATATAGTGGGATTGTTGGGTTTTAAAATGTGTGAATGAAATATGAAGTGTTGCGACTCTAATGAAAAGTTGCGATTTTTATGAAAAGTTGAGTTTTTTATGAAGTGTTGCGACTCTTATGAAAAGTTGCGACTTTTATGAAAAGTTGCGTCTTTTATGAAAAGTTGAGTTTTTTATGAAGAGTTGTGACTTTTATGAATAATTGCGACTTTTATAAAAGGTTGTGACCTTTTCAAAGAGTTGGAAAAGTTACAAATCTTGATATGTTTTTAAAGCCATTAGCTTCTGTTTATGTTATTAATTTCTAACATAAAAACCCAATCTCTTCTCTAGTTAGAGTGATAAATCTAATTTGCGTATATTTGGATCTATTTCCGGAAAATTTTACTGATCTGATTGTGAATTCACATCCTCCATCAGAAGACGACTCTCTGGTGTCCCAATTCAACCTCTGGACAACAGAATCAACAATGACGACAACGTGGAATCTGCTGCACACAAAGACGGAATCATGCTTGATTACCTCGTAATAGACATTGACTTATCCATTGATTATGTATTCCCACCTCACGATGCTGACCTGAATGTGTCGCCTGAGAAATCTAATCACGAGTTTCCCATGGAGTCTGTAAATGACTACAACGGTTCCCCTCACCGGAGTCTCAAGGTCTGGTAATTGTGGCGCCAATGTCATGAATTATTTGTTAACTTCCACTCCTAATGTTGTTGATCAGTAGAACATAAAATTAGATTAGAGGACTTGAAAATTAAAAAAAAAGTGAGTGATAGATTCAAACAACGTATACAAATTAAAAAAATCTGATTTTGTAGTTGATTGTAGCAATGTTAGAAATGTTAATAGTGAAAAAGATGAACAGAGGAGCAGCCCATTCAATGGCATTTTCTTGATGTTGGAGGAGTAACTGCTTGTGGCTTCCTCGGAATGGGCGTGATCACTAAATAAGGCGCTTGTGATCCTTGTGGCTTCACCATATCAGATAGAATCTCAAAGTCAGGGACCTGGCGGCGAAATCTGCGCATTAACAAAACTTGGTAAATAATTGTTTTCAAGAGTTGTGTGTCAACGTTGTTAGCATCAAACACTAATTATGAATGCACTTGTACTCATTTGTACCACCATTCCCTTGACAAAATACTTGTTCTTATTGTGTCACCCAAAGCCAAGGATCCTAGAATCTGCTCAACAACATTGTGAGGCAAATTGCGAATTCTATCTGCAGCAGACCTCCCCATCTAATATGATCCTCCGTCCAACTCATCATAGTAGTGTCATCCTCAATTCAGAATGATTTTCATCCCGAATCAAACTGAAGAAAAATCAAAAGAATTGCGACTCTGATCTTTGACACAGAGCAAGTGACAACAAACAAGAGAACAACTTTTTTGGTGAAACCATGGTAACAAAATTGTAAATTTGCTAGCAAAGCATTAGAAATTGCATCCACCTGTGTTTATACACAACCTTTTGGGCTGCTTCAGTACACTATGTTGCATTCCTCTTGGGAGAGAATGAAATATATCACACGTTCCAAAGGATCCTTTCAGGCATTACGCTTGAGAAAGTAATAAAAAGGAGAAGTTAGTATTAATTGTCCGAAGAAAAAGCAGCTTTGTTGAAGTTCAAAACTTTGATGTTGTACCTAATGCTCTGGTAGACTAGCAGTTATGGTCTAAAATAAAGTGCGATAAAATTAGTTAAAAATTATAAGGCAAGTCCAATAATACATTTAGTAGGTTTCTCGATGATGGCCATTCCATCCAAAATACCCAAAGCCACTCTGTTAGAACTTGGAAGCTTGATAAAATTCTCATTTTAGAGAAGAAATTTACACAAGGATGAAATGCTTACTGCATTCCGCACGATTTCATTGAAATCTAAGAATTCATTTCTTAATAGCAATCAATATAGAGTGTAAGAGAAATGTAGAGTTGTAGGTCCTCAAAACTGGTGCTTTTCGACAGTTCACAATAACTTAAGACATTAGCGAATTCCACAAGCAAGC